TTTTTTTTTTTTTTTCCAGATCATGTAGGCATGGCAAGGTATATATTCTTGGTCACATTTGCTTTTGATTATGGTCCTGCTGGTCATGGTCAGGCACAGGGAGGGTGCTTACAAACACCATGGATGCCAGTCTTCACCAAGTTAGTCCTGTCTCATTGCTCACCACTGTGCCATGTAGACACAGAGTCAAACCCTAATCATCAGCACTGTTATTTCTCCCAGTACAATACAAGCCCAGAGTGAGAAAAAGGAAAGCAGAGTAGTCTGGACTATATCAGAGAGTTAGGAATGAGGTGAACCACTATAGTAGTTTCCTACTGCAGCTGTAACAAAATACAGTGGGTGACTTTAAAAACAGAAATTTCTTGTCTCACAGTCCTAGAGGCCAGGAGTCCAAATCGACAGGTCAGCTGGGCAGTGCTCATGATTAACATTTCTAGAAGAAGTTCCTTCTTGTCTCTCCAGCTTCTGGTAGCCCCGTGGCTTGTAGATGCATCTTAACACAGCCATCCTTCCTCTATCTGTTTCTCTGTGTCTCTTCTCCTCTTTTGTAGGGACACTACTTAGATTGGATCACACCCACCCTACTCTAGTATGATCTAATGTTACCTTAACTGATAACATCTTCAAAGACCCTATTTCTAAACAGGTACTAGGGGTTAGGACTTCAACATTTCTTTCCAGGGAGGACATAATCTAATCTGTAAGAGCCACCTGCAGGCATCGTTCTCTCAGGTAGTCTGAAAAAAGGGAAGATGTTGGCTCTATGGATACTGGGTAGAATGCCTCTCCCATCTAAGATCAAACATTGATAACAATCCCAAGGTGCTACCTTTTCATTAACAATTCAATCTGTGCATAATGTAGATTGTACATTTGACTGCTAACCAGAAGGCTGGAGGTTCAAACCCACCAGCCACTCCTCGGAAGGAAGTTTGGGCAATCTACTTCCATAGTGATACCACCTCGGAAACCCAAGGAGGGGTCGCTATGAGTCGGGTCTGACTTGATGGCACATAACAACAAAACAACAACAACATATCATCTCCAAGAGCCATTTATTTGACAACTGTGTATTGCTGAGCCAGACACTGTGCTGGCTGTGGGAGAAACAAAAATGGAGCTACCGTTATTAGGGAAAACTAGCAAGCAAACAGCCATCACCATATACTATAACTCAGTCAAACAAAAAACATCCCTGTGTTCAAGTTCTTTGGGAGGTTGCTTCCCCACCTTCTTTGCTTCTTGCTCTTCTCTTCACCTCAGTTTCTAATTGGAACGAGAACAGTGACCAGTCTATTGCTATTGATGACATCTCTTTGAGTGGCCTGAGCCAGGCTTCCATTAAATTGCAGGCTGTCTTTTACTAGTTGGTGCCCATTACTCCTTTGTAAAGGCTACCAGTCTCTGATTTGTCCAGGCATTTTAGCCTGCTACCCAACTGAACTGAAAACAAATAACTTTTTTCTGGGCAAATAGTCGACTTTCCAACACCAAAGGTTTTGAGGTCTATGAAAAAGAACAGGCAGATGAAAAGCTAAAGGAAGTGACATACAGTAACCCTGATGGCTATCCTGGGTGGTACAAATGGTTAAGGACTGAACTACTAGCCAACAGTTTGGATCTCAGGAGACAGGTCTGATGATTTGCTTCTGAAAGTTCACAGCCTTGAAAACTGTATGGAGCAGTTTTACTCTGCGCACACGAGGTTGCCATTAGTTGGAATCAACGCAACAGCAACTAACAATAACAATAACAATGTCTATCCAACTGCAGTGTTCATTTTTTCACCTCTCTGAGCTCTGAGACAACCCAGATATCTGGCTTATCTTGAACTAGAACCAAGAACCCCAGGCCAGAAGCCCAAGAACTCTGAGCATGCTGGTTCCTCCTCTTTCCTATCTATACTCACTCCCTTGGCGATCTCACTTCCCAGGACTTTAAACACCATCTATGTGCGGATGCCATCTAGCTTTGTATCTTCAGGCCAGACCTCTCCCCTGAACTCCAGTCAACTGCCTACACCCCATCTCCCCTTGGCTGTCTAAAATTAGACTCAAGCTGAGCACTGATATCCACTTCATTCTGCCTACTTCTCCTCATTTTCCTCATCTCAGTTGATGGCAATTCTTCAACCTACTCAGGCCAAAACCTTGGAGTCATCCTTGACTCTTCCCTTGCTGTCACACCCACATCAATTCATCAGCAAATTCCATAGATTCTTGCTTAAAATCTGTCCAGAAGCTGACCACTTCTTGTCCCTTCCACTGATGCCACTTTGGTTGAAGCTCTCGTCATCTGTCATTGTAATAATGTCTTTGTTGGTCTTCTTGCTTCTGCCATTTGCTCCTCTATCGTCTACTCTCAATATAGCAGTGAGAGTGATCCAGTTAAAACACTAGTCAGATTGTGTCCCTCCTCTGCTCAAAACTCTCTGAGAGCTCTCATCTCATTTAGAGTAAAAGCCAAAATCCCTATAGTGCATGAACCCCTCCCTCCACTCCCATTGCCTTTCTGATCTCCTTTTCTGCCACATTCCACCTCATCCACTCTGTTCCAGCCACTCTGGCCCTTCAACCATGCCAGACACACTCTCACCTCAGAATTTGTGCATTTGTTATTCTCTCTACCTTAAATGTTCTTTCCCTAGATAAGGGTGCAGCCCTCTCCCTTACTGCCTTCTTCTTTCTTTTCTTTTTTGTGTGTGCTGCTTTTTAAAAAAATTTTGCGTTGTTTCCTCCCCTCCCCTCCTCCTTCTGTCTTTATGCAAATGCCAACTCCTCAGTGAAATTTTCCTTCTCTACTGTCCTTTTTGGCTAAGGCACTTGACTGCTAACCAGAAGGCTGGCGGTTCAAACCGACAAGCCACTCCCCGGAAGGAAGATGGGGCAATCTACTTCCGTAGTGATACTGCCTCGGAAACCCAAGGAGGGGTCGCTATGAGTCGGGTCTGACTCGATGGCACATAACAACAACAACAACAACTGTCCTTTTGCAATCCCCTCCCACCAGGCTCCCCAGCCTCCTTCCCTGCTTTATCTTTCCTAAAGATAAATGGTGCCCTTAGCACCTTTTGATCCACTTTATAGTTTAATTAGTTGTCTCCTGTGTAGAATGTAAGCTCTACAAGGTACACATTTTTGTCTGCTTCATTCATTACTGTCCCCTCAGCCCCCAGAAGATCTCTGTCATATAGCAGGTGCTCATTAGTTATTTGTTGGTGGAATGAAGGAAGCTTTATGAGAGAAGGAGCATGCCACTCCTCTTCCGTGTCCCCCCTCGGTGGTCAGCACCTAGTAGGTGTCCAGTTGTTCTTATAGGAGCAGGAGGGATCTTATAAGAGAATCTACCCCAACCCCCTATTTTGTTTTCAGAGAGATAGGGAGTGTGGTCCTCAGCACTGTTCAGGGAAAGTCCAGTCTAGCAGCCAAGTCACCTTTGGGAGGCTGAGGCTTCCAATAGACAATCAGCTTCTTGCTCTCACATCAAGTGTGCAGCTGTCGTGAAGCCAGGGGGCAACGCCTCTTTCCTGTCCCTCGGGGTGGGGAAAAAAAATCCTTCCTATGAGCGAGATTCACATCTGAACTCCTGGGATGCTCCTGTTTTGTTTTGGTTCTAGCAATGACGTCTTTTGTTTTCTCAAAAGGTTGTGTTCTTCAGATCATGCCAAAGCCTGGGAACAGTGAGGGCATTAGGACCAGGAGCAAGACTCATGCTTGGATCTGGGTTGTGTCTGGCAGAGGGCTCTCCGCTGAGCCTGAGTACAGAGCTATGTGTGAAAGGAAATCAGGCACTGACTGCCGGCTTCACATCTGTTGATCTGACCCAACTAGAAGGGTCCAAAGGGAGACTGCTGTCAACTCTGCTGGACTGAGGACCCACCAGCTCACCTCAGACATCTCTTAGCAACTTGAGCATTCATGCAAGAGGGGGCAACGAAACAAGGGACTGCACACCCGAGCAGAATGGAATAATTATTTTCCCTAGAAGAAAAGGGGGTACAAGGGGTCCAGATTATTCAATTTGAAGTCCCTGTGAATTGGCTTTCAGAAGGCAATTAGACAAGTCCACCCAGAGAGAACCTGGGTCCTGTGGCTTTCTGATTGCAAGTGGAAATGCGTCTTGCACACACTGATTGCAAATGTCAGATGGAAAGAAAGGAGCAGGTTAAGTGAAAGGCAAAAGCTCTCAGGTGGAACCAGGAACTCAGGTTCTGCTGCAAGCTTGAAGGCACCTGGAGCAGGAAGAGAAAACAAAGTTGAACATGACCTGTTGCATTTGGCAAGTTCCAGTAACATGCTCTTAAGGAAGCGATACCGGCATGGACTGTGCAGAGTGCAGTTCCTGCTGCTGCTCCTGCTGCTGGGATGTGTGCTTCTGATGGTGGCCATGCTGCACCCTCCCCCGCAGGCCCTGTACCAGGCAGGTGCAGCCCAGGCCTGCGAGCACAGCCCTGAGGCTGGGTACCACCTGAACTTTGGGGAATCCCAAGAATGGGTGCTGGAGGCTGAGGACGAGGGCCAAGAGTACAGCCCCCTGGATGGGCTGCCTCCCTTGCTGTCACTGCGGGAGGATCAGCTCCTGGTGGCTGTGGATTTACTCAGGGCCAGAAGGAACCAGAGCCAGGGCAGGAGAGGCGGGAGCTACCAGCTTATCAAGCAGCTGAGCAAGAGGCAGGACGAGGAAGCCCCAGAGAGGGACTGGGGGGCCGAGGAGGAGGACGGGGAGGTCTCTGAAGAAGATGAGCTTACCCCACCTCTCAGCCTAGACCCCCACGGCCTCAACGAGGTGCTCAGTGCCCGCATCCCCGTGCGGAGGGTCCTGCCCGAGGTGCGGCACCCACTGTAAGTAAGGCCTTTGCTTTCCCTTCCCCCAGTACTGAGGCACAAACAGGAGCAAGCCAACTCAGAGATGCAAACGTTCTGCACTCTGCCTCCACTGTCCTTAGAGCACTGGTTCTCAAAAGTGTGTGGTCCTTGGATCAGCAGCATGGGCGTCACCTAGGAACTTGTTAGAAATGCAAATTTTGGGGACCCACCAATAATCTGCTGAATCAGAAACTGTGGGTGGGGCCTAGTGATCTGCATTTAACAAGTCCTCTGGGTGACAGCCATTGACCCTGAGAACAGAAAATGAGGAACTCTGCCTTCTTCATTCTCTTCCCTGTCCTGGGTTCTGATCCTTTTATCTCTGGATTATCTGGTCAAACAGTTTCACCTGTAAAAGGCAGAAGGGGTATTAGAACAGATGTTCTTCAAGGCAGTTCTAATACCTCCAAGTTCTAACACTCTGACTCCAGTACATTCTGATATTATGATTGTGGTTAGTGTTTACTTTTATTTTGGATCAAAATAACAATCATAGCTAACATATCTATGGTTCTTGCTGTGTGCCAGGCTTTAAGAGCTTTTTGTGTATTTACTCACAACATCCTTATGACTGTAAAATGAGGGGGGGGGGCTAGTATTTTCATCATGCCTATTTTATGATATGAAAATAAAGCACAGAAAAGCCAAGTAACTTTCTCACAGTCACACAGCTAGTAGGTATAAAACAGGGATTTGAACCCAGGTAGTTGGGCTCCAATCTGTCTTAATCACTTCTCTGTGCCATCTTCCAGGGCAAGCTGGTTTAATAGTCTACTAGAAGAAGGGAAAAATTCCAGCAGCCAGGCTCTAGAATATAGTGCTCACCCGATCACAGCCTAACCCAGCAGGGTGTCCCCAAGCCCAGGAGGCAAGCTGAGGGTGTGGATGATATACAGCAGAGCCATGTTCAGGGATGGGGGGGGGCACAGAGTTTATACCCTCCCAAACCTACACCCCCAATACCATGGCTGCCCATGAGGAGGGGGGCCTGGATACCAGCCAGCAGTTAACAAGGGGGAAATACCTCACTCATCTCACCCTAGTCAGGACCCTGCTACTTGGACTTCAAATATTAGTTCAAAGAGCTCTTTTCAGGAAATTCCCAGGTCTATTTCCCAACCAGCTAGCCACCCCACCCAAGCTAGTTTGAATAATCTAAGACCTTTTCCATAATAATAAGTCATTGATCTTCTCAGAGCCCAGAGAGTTTTCTGGGAAGCAAATACTCTCTAAACCTCTAGGTGAGAGCATTTGGGTATAGCAGTAGTTGGGAGCCAGACCACACACTCCACAGTTCTTGGCAGGGCCAGGGCAAAATTTAAGGAGGTGCTTACTCTCAGGGCTGGGCAAATGCAGAGTCAGCACCTGATAGTGAGTGCTTCCTTAAATTTTGTTCTCTAGCCACTCCACCTCCCCCAACCAGCCAGCCACCCCACCAGTTTGATGCTCTGTTTGCACCCTAGAGTTTTAATTGGTAGCCCTGGGTGCAACAGAAGCTAGTGGTCTTTGATGTGTATATTTTCAATGCCTACTTCTCCTGGCATGCTGTGGGCCCCCCCCACCAAGGTCTGGACTGTGTCTATATAGTACATCTCAATGTCCAGCACAAAGTAAAGAAATGATTGCTGAATGAATGAAGGAAGGAATATGTAGTTTTCCAAAGTATTTTGCTATATGTTCTCATTAGCCTATAGCAAGAGTAAGTATCCCCATTTTCCCAGTAAGAAACATTGCCCTGAAGGAGAGGGCCTCTGGCACCAAAGATATGTGTGTGTGACTGTATGAGACTGTGTGCCTGCTTTGTGCAAGTGTGTTGTACACATACATGTTTGTGGGTGCATTATATTTGTTTATGTATGTATGTTGTGTGTATACTATGTGTGTTATGTGCACATTATGTCATGTGTATATTGAACTGTGCTGTCCATTGTATACGTGTTGTGCATGTAGTACATGTGTTTGGTGCATGTATGTGGTTTATCTGATGTATGTGTACTTCATGTTTGCATTTCATATGTGGTGTGCTATGCACATGTATGAGTTGCATGTTGTGCATATGTGTGTTTTGTGCATGTGTGTACATTGTGCATATGTATTGATGTGCATGTATGTGTTGTGTGTTATATATGTATTACATATGTTGGGCAAAGTGCATGCATATGATGCACGTGTGGGCATATGTGTTGTGATGTACACATATATAATTTTGCATATGTTTGTGTGGCATGTGTGTGCATGTGTATTGTGTTGTTGTTGCATGTGTATGATGTGTATGTATTTATACTGTGTGAGTGTGAATTACATGTGTTGCATATGTATGTTGTAAAAGTGTGTGAGTGGTACATATGTACATGTGCAAGTATGTGGCGTATCTTATATGTGACGTGCATTGTTGTGTGATATGTGCATAGTGCAAGTGTGGATGCATTTTGTGTTGTATGTATGGGATGTACACATTTGTCTATGCATGTTTGTGTGTACACCACTTCAGTAGTTGTTTTTGCCAGCCTTCTCCAGCTAGGGTTATTAACTCATCCCTGTTTGATCAGGACTTTCCTAGTGGTTTTAGCCCTGAAAGTCTTGCTGTGCTACTGCTACTGCTGTCAGAAACACCCTCAGTCCTAAAGGAAACTGGACAGTTGGTCTTGCCACCCCCAGCTTGCTGTTCTCACAGGACAGCCCCCAGCTCTGTCCAGAGGTCTGTGGCACCCTCTGCTGGCCCTAGCCTGTCTCGGCAGCCTGTGCATCCCAAGCCTTGGCCTCCTCTACATTCTGCTGTCAGGACCTCCTCTTATTGGCAATACTCCAGAATATACAAGGGATTCCCTGAAAAGCAAGACGTCAAGTCTCATCCTCCCTCTAGGTTGACAGGACACACCTCCTCCCACTACTTTACAAACTGAGCCAAAATATAGCACATTAAAAAAAAATCCATATAATAAATACTTACGGTGTGCAGGATCCTGCATTCTGTTTTCCCACAGGGTCTGAAGAGCACTAGAACACTCTAGGAGTATCTGGCACCTGCTAAAATATCCACATGCCACTCAAACATATGCAACTTAGGTGACATTACCTGGCTCCACTTAGATACCAGACTCCAGGGCCTTTTCCAAGCCCATCTTCATCTCCTAATCCAGACATGACCTGCTAGCCCCAATTCCTGTATCAAAACCCCAAACAAATCCTGGTCTCTGTTGCTTACCCCTTTTCCAGGCCACCTTTTCAGAACACCTTTAGGGTCATAGCTGAAGGTCAGTTTGAAAAGGGGCATGCAAAGAAAGCAACCAATAATGCAAGATATATATATATATATGTGTGTGTGTGTGTGTGTGTGTGCAAAGGTCAAAAGATAGCTTCTGAAAAGAGATGTAAAACTATGGTGAACATTTACTGAGTACTTACTATATGCCAGGGCTCTGATGGCATAGTGGCTAAGGCATTTGACTACTAACCAGAAGCTGGTGGTTCAAGCCCACCAGCCACTCCTTGGAAGGAAGACTGGGCAATCTACTTCTGCAGAGATACTGCCTTGGAAACCCCAGGAGGGGTTGCTATGAGTTGGAATCAACTCAATTTGTTTTTTTGTTTTACAATGTTCCAGAGATTGTGGTAAGGGTTTCTCATTATTGTTCATCATTTAATGCTCATATCAACCCTATTAACCAAACCCAAACAAAATCCACTGCCATCTAATTTATTCTGACTCATAACAACGCCCATTGGGTTTCCAAGGCACTAAGTCTTTTGGAAGTAGATTGCCTCATCTTCGTTCTGCAGAGTGGCTGGTGAGTTTGAATCACCAGCTTTCTGGTTAGTAGTCAAATGCCTCAGACACTGCACCACCAGAGCTCCCTTCAACCCTATAAGGGAGGTATTATTATTATTATTATTATTATCTTCACTCTAGGTATAAGAAAATGAGGCACATAAAGGTGAAAGCATTGGTCTTAGGTTACCTGACCAGGTGTGTCTAACACCAAAGTCATGCTCTTACCCACCATGCTTTCTATGTCTGCCACTTAAAAGACCTGAGCTTTGGGAAAATTAACTTGGGATGGAAGCATTCTAAAGTTTTCCATCTATAAAATGGGAGAACACACACAGATTGATGAAAAGATGTGTAGGAGGATGTTCACAGCATTGGTGGTACTAAGGAGTCAGAAGCTATCTGGGTGTCTCTCAACATAGAATAATAAAGGAGGTGGATTCAGCCTATGAAATTCTAGGTGCCAGTTAGAAGCAGCAGATTCAATGTATGGTCAACAATGAAGGAGACCTTAAAATATGTATGAAAAAGCAAGAAACAGAGAGAGGTCTACAAGGACAATCCCGTTAGGGGAAGTATGCAGTCCAATAGGTGCTTTACAAGAATAAATAAAAGAAATATTAACATTCATTAAGATGGTTGGGCTGTGAATATGGAGATCTTGGGAGAGGGAGTCATGGGAGTGGAGATGGGGATAAAAGTTAACATTAATATTAATATATAAATTAAATAAAGAGAAGGGCCTATGGTGGACCAAAGATGAAAATATGCCACTAACTGAATAATAGGATTAATTCAACTCTTCAAAGCAGTTGTCACAATAGAAGGCAGGAAGGAACAAGTCTTGCCCCTTTAGCCTGGTGTGGCATCCACAGTTTTTAAAGCTCTTCCAGGGAAAGATCTCCTTTGATCATCCTGGCATCTGGTATAGAGGCAATGATTCTCAAATCAAAGAAGCTCCATGTGAGAAAGTGTATGGTAAGTCAGTTCTACAGCCAAGCAGTAGCTCTCAAACTTGAGCCTGCATCAGAATATCTGGAGAGTGCTCGCTAAAACACAGATTCCCAGCCTTCACCTCTATAGTTTCTAACTCAATGATATCTCGAGATAGGGCCTGGGAGTTTGCATTTCTAACAAGTTCCCAGGTGATGCTGATCCCACAGATCTGAGAACCACACTTTCAGAAACACTGCTCTAAAGCACAGTG